CTGCAGTCAATAGTTTTCCATTATTTTTATTTCTCTTTTGATCTGTTCCTCTCCACCCCACCCCAGCCTAGGTCCTCCTCTGTTTTGTTCTGGCCTTCAGTTGTTGAATGAATGAAACTTACAATATTATGTCTAACTCTACTGTTGCCCCTAAAGGTTGCGTTTATTTCCTTTTATAGAAGACAAAATGGAGAGTTTAGGAGGCTTTAAAAAATGTGTGTGTGTGTGTGTGTGTGTGTGTGTGTGTGTGTGTATGTGTGTGTGTGTGTGTGTGTGTGTGTGTGTGTGTATGCGTACATAAATGCAGGTGCCCATGAAGGCCGGATTCATCAGATCCCCCTGGAGCTGGAGTTATAGGTCTTGTAAGCTGCCTGGTGTGGGTGCTGGGAACCAAGCTTGGGTCCTCTGTAAGTACAGTACATACTCTTAACTTCCGGGGTATCTCTCCAGCCCTTTAATCAAAGTTTGCTTCTAAGACTGACAGCAGAAGTATGGTCTGGGGGCTGATTGGAAAAGTAGCTGCTCACAGGGTCGGTTCAGCCACCTGTCTGCCTCAGACCCACAGGCCACATAGCACAGGAGGCTGGATGAATAGGACACGTAGAGGCAGGCACTATCCTTTCCATCCAGCTGGCCGGCTGTCAGGTAAGCCCCATCCCATTCAATCAGCCACCTGCTGCCTCCTACCTCCCAGAGCCCCACATGAACAATACCAGATTAGAGGTTCAGAGGCAGCCTCAAGGCAGAGCTGCTTGGGATGGATGAATACATGGCAACAAACCCATGGGGTGCGGGCGGCTCCTCAAAAGGGGTAATGAATAAATGGGAATGAACGGGCAAGACTCAGCTCACATACTAATTACCTTTGCTGCCAGCCAGGCGTCCAGAAATGTGACTCATTCAGATGTTCTTAAATACACTGCACCACACCACACACACACACACACACACACACACACACACACACACCACATCACATCATCACACACTACACACATCACACTTCATGCACAATACCACACACACACTATACACATATACAACGTACACCATCACCGCTTACACACACACACACACACACACACTATCACATCTTCACATCTTACACACACCACACAAATCACTCCATGTACAATACCATACACCACACACTCACACCACACACACCATCACACCTTACACACACCACACATATACACCACACCATACACATGCACCTTTCATATATCATACACATACTACACACATGCACCACATATACATACACCATCACACCTTACACACATATACCACATCACACACTATACAAAATGCCATACACACATCACACAAGCACCACATACACATACCATACACAGTACCATACACACACCATATACCTACATGGCACCACATACCATACTACCATACACATGCACCATATGTATGTGTATGTGTATCCATACACCATAAATGTACCACACACATACACCATACACATACCACGTAATACTACATATCATACAAAAATCATCCCATACACATGCACCATACACACAATAAACACATCACATACATACACAATACCATACACATACTACACACATGCACCACACACATGCACCACACACAACACACATACTATATACATGTACCACACACCATACACACATACCATACTATATACATGCACCACATACCACACCTTACACACATATCACGTACATACATACCATCATACCTTATACACATCACGTACCACACACACACCATATACATGGACACATACTACATAAACACCATACCATATACACAACACAGACACAAAAGCACCAAGCCATATACACACCATGCACACACACCACACTATAGACATCATACACGTAACTCACTCCACCCCACATATACATACATCATACACCACACAAATGCATGTGTATCACACAATATACACACCGTACACACACACGCACACATACTATATTGTAATACATACACACACAGGCAGAGATGCTGTCTGAGAACAGAGGCCACAGGCAGGTGGAGAAAGTCTCCTCCACTTCTCTGGAAAGAACAGGGTGGGACTCCTTGTGTGAGCAGGACAGCATCTGAGGCCACACACAAGGTTGTTCTCCCAACCCTGAGCCTCAGTAAGGCAGGGGGCATGAACTTCAGACTTCTCCTTTCAAATCCTACCCTGGGGGATGCAGATATGCCTCAGCACAACACACTTCTTAGTATACACACAGCTCTGGGTTCCATTCCTAGCAATGCCCAAATCAATAAATAATAAATAAAAGTCCTACCCCATACCACTTACTGGTGCCATGTGACTCTGAGCAGCTGACTTAAACTTTCTTGCTCATTCCTTCATTTGCAAAATGGGGGTGATAACAGCACCCACCTTGGAGTTGGGGTGAGGATTAAGTGGTGGCACACACCTATGATCTCAGTATTTGAGAGGCTGAGGCAGGAGGATCTCAAGTTTGAGCCTGGTCTCAAATAAAGGGGTGTGTGGGGAAACTGCGGAGATGTGGAGATGGCTCAGTGGGTAAAGCACTGGCCATGCAAACCTGAAGATGGAGTTCAGATCCTCAGCACCCACATAAAGGTTGGGCTCCCCTAATGGCAGGTTTGTAATCCCAGTGCTGAGGAGGTGGAGACAGGACTCCCCTAGGGCAAGCTGGCTAGCTAAACTAACCAAATTGGCAAACTCTGGGTTCAGTGAGAGACCCTGCCTCAGTAATAACATGGAAAGACATGTTATTCACATGCACACAGACACATACACACTTACACATATGCACATACATATATATGCAGGCACGCACATTCGACCACACACCAGCCCTCCTCCTGGGAAGCAGGAGCCCTTCCTTCCCATGTTAGAAAGATACCCAGTGTCAACCCTGGCACCCACCCCATGCATGCACCTCCCCCATGCATGCACAGCCCACACACATGCAAACATACACACACAAGCACCACACACACATACAAAAAAGGGGATAGCTATAGGGTGTGGGACAGTTGTAACTGTAGAGTAAGCCCTTAAACTAAGTGTCTAATAAAAGATTGTAACTGCTCCCTCATCTGCAGGGGTGAATTTTTCTGCCATGGGTTTCCTAGGAGGGGCTGTTGCCATGGAGATGGCAGCGGGAGGGGGCTCTCCCATCTGCTTATCCACCAATGGTTTCTAGCCTCTCCCACCATACACCAAAGCCAACAGGTCCCTGAGGTGGCAGGAAGGACATGTGTCTTCAAATGGGAGCAGGAGCTGAGTAACAAGCCTCACTGCCAAGGTTTGAAGCCTCCCCAGCCACCCTGAAAGCAGCCATGGCTGTCATGTGGGTAGAACCAAAGCTGCTGGAGACCACACCAGCCCTCCTCCTGGGAAGCAGGAGCCCTTCCTTCCCATCCTCCCCTAGGGAAGGCAAAACAAAATGTCCCACACCACCCTGGAAGGTGTCCTCTGAACAGCCTTATCTCAGCTCTGCGGCTGTCAGCAGATCCCACAGAAATCATTAGTTCTACACCAAGCAGGGCAGGAGAGACGAATCTTACCTATAGAAGCAAAAGGGAAAAAATGAGCAGATGCTTGTGTATGTGTGTATATGTATGAATGTGTGCATGTGTAGGTTCATGCTTGTGAGTATATATGTGTCTGTGTGTGCATGTGAATATGCATGTGCCTGTGTGCTCATATGTGTGTGCATGTGCATGAGCTTTCATGGCCCTGGCACACTTAATAGCTCAGTACCCAAATTAATCCCTGGCACAGTTTATACTTTGAGCAGACTCTTCACAGTGGAGAGCTCAGCAGGCCCGTCAGAACTGTGTGGCACTGCTGTTCCTTAACCTCTCTGAACCTCAGTCTCTTCCTCTATAAGACAAGGCTAACCATGTTGCTTTCATGAGATCAGGGGTAAGTCCTCTGCACAATGCCCAGGACATAGGAAGCAAGAGGCACTTTAGGAAGCGGGTCAGGAGTCTCATTGTCCTGTTGGGGTAATGAGGGTAATGAGGTCCGAAGCTTGTGGAATCTACAGAGCAAACTAGGAAACCATGTCTCCCAGCTCCTGACCCCAGGGCCTTTCCACTACACCCCTGTCCTGGCCCCTCTCCCACATCTGGCAGCAGCCCAGGTTGGAGCTGGGAGCCCCAGCATTACAGTGCCCCAGCCCACTCCCCCTGGAACACCCCTGTGTTTCCTGCTTGGCTGGATTAAACTGTTACAAGGTTTCCTGATGTTAAACTCTTTCCCAGACCCAATAGGTTTTCCAAGTTACACTATCTCAGTATCTTCATTACCTAATGCTGACTAGACACTAGCCTGCTGGGGGCTCTCAACTTTACAAACCCTCTTAGTGGTGTACTTGGGTTGCAAGAATATCAGCACCGGGAGCCATGAATATGCAAAGCAGCTGCAAGCCTGTAAATAAAAGCAATCATTTAAATGCAAATTGCAGCCTTGGCTGCCCAGACCACAGAGCTTGGATCTTCTCTGGGTGCAATTCAGAGCCGAAAGCGTGACTAACTCAGAACCCCCAGCAAGCTTAGCACAGAAACACTCTGGAGGTCATGGGCCCCCGGTTGGGGGCTCCCTGGGGTGCATAAGAGCTGTCTGGAAGTGAGGGGTGAATCTTAAAAAACCCAAGCCACTTCAATTAGCTCACAGGGCTGGCCAAGCTCAAAGCAGTGCTCTAGGTTGAATCTATCGCCAGGACTCCTGGCACCTCACCATCCCTGCAGGCAGAGCGGAGGGGTGCCGAACCACTGACTGTCTCCTTGTGGAGGTCAAGGGAGCTTTAAAATCACATCCCATAGCTACCTGCTGAAAACCCTCCAAGGGTTCAGTGACCCCAAACAGAACAAATACTAATTTCCTTTCCATGGCTCCAAAGACCAGGATCTAGCTAGTGCCTCCCATCTCCTCTCCCAGACTCTCAAATCTGTCTACACACTCTGGTCACAATGGCCTTTGTCCCTCACTCCCAAATCTGTCTACACACTCTGTCACGATGGCCTTTGTGCGGAGCTTATGCGCACCTCCGAGCTTTTGCAGCCCTGGTGCCCTCCTCCCAGCTCGTTCTTTCTCCCAGTGGCGGTTCCCCTCTCGCTGGGGTCCACTATGAAATGCCACTCCCCTAAACTCGTCTCAAGTACCATACGCCCTTGTCACTTTTATTTTCGTGGCAGCCCTGTCCCAACCAGGTATCGAGGTGGCAGAAAGCATTTCTTCACCCACCTCTCGACTCACTCCCAATATGGGTGCCTGTTCATTTTATACAAGATAATTCCCTAGCACCAAGTACTATGACACATTTGTTGAAATTAAAAACAAAACAGAACAAAACCGCAAAGATTGAGTCTGTCTTTGAGAGGAAAGCCAGATTCTTGATGCCTGAGCCCCAAGTTGCGACTCCTTTCCCCTCCCATCTTTTTCCCTTCCAACTCAGCTGACCCCTTTTCAGACTTAGAGAAGCGAAGGAATCGGGAAACAATGTTCTCAGTCTAGAGAGATACAAAACGGGCCCCGAAGAGGACTTCCAACCAACAGATATCAATTTGCATTCTATTTACATGTTATTTGCATGCAGTTTAACTCCAAGAGTGGTTATTCCAAAAGCCCTGCTCCCCACCAAAGAAACTTAGGAAATTGCGTTGGGAAGTGCTGGGGAGGGGCGAGGTTTGTGTTAGACCCCTCCCCCACTTCTCTTGTTTTCGCAGGGACCCTGGGTGCTTCCTGGACTCTGCTAAGGTGCTCCCCACCCCGGCGCAGTCCGGCGGCCAATGCTGCGGCGCGTGTGCAGGGGCCCCAGGCGGGGACGAAGCTGCCCGCCACGCTCCAGGGGCCTTTGTCCCGGTTCCAAGGAGACGCCCCCTTAGCAAGGAACAGGGGACGGGGGTGGGGGTGATGGCTAGGCCTGGGTGTGACGGAGCAAGATCCCACTGTTCTGGGGCGTCCTCTGGGGCAAGGTCGGTGACCCGCTCCGAGCAGGTTAAAGTGTGTGTGTGTGTGTGTGTGTGTGTGTGTGTGTGTGTGTGTCTCCCCGGCTAAGGCGGGGTGAGAGGGGGTCCTCGCCTTTGCTCGCCTATCCTATCCGCTCCCGGGGAGATTTACGAGATCCTGGTGAAACTTGGGGGGCACAACACAGGGTTAGACTGACCGCCTCTCTTAGAGGCCCAAATGTCCTGGTCTGGGATGGAAACGCCACCCCCTCCCCCGCTAGCCACCGTACATACCTCCCCCCATCCCGCAATAGTGCCCCAGTCTGATTTCGTCCCGCAGTGCTCACCCTCCCGCGCCTGTGCCCAGGAGTGCTCCGTGGTTGCGAACTTGGCCCCCGGACCCTGCGGCAGGTGCGGCTGCGGATCCCCAAAGGCTGGCTCTGGAACCCCGGCTCCGTTACCCAGCTCATGGTCAGCCCCCCACCCTCCTGCCACCCGGTTCCCAAGGCCCTCCAGGTCCGGCCCGAGGCTGCCCTCATAGGAGTAACCAGGGCAAGGCCGGACTCCCTTTTATCGCCAGCTGCCCTTTACCTGTCGTCACCCCAGACCCTCCCCAGGATCTCCTTCTGGTCCGTGTACTCCCCAGCACCCCTCCCCCGCCAGCCCTCTGAGGCTCCCTTCCCGCCGCACTGTGGTTCCCTCACCCGAACCCCACATCCTCCCCTGCAGAAGAGGCAGGAGAGGGAGAAGAGAAACAGCACTAGACGCGGATCCCACCCACCCAGATCTTCCCAAGCCCACGGCAGGAAAAGTTTCCGGGGTCCCTGCAGCGCCCTCCACCGAGTAGGCGCCGGCCGGCACTCACCGGTCCCCGCGGCCCCGCAGCGCCGACGCTCCCGCTGGCCCTCGGCCCGAGTCACATCTCTGCAGCGCGGCGGCGGCCCCCCGTCCGCGCCCGCCCGCCAGCAGGTCCCGCCTCACTGCATCGCGCTGCCGAACGGCGGCTGCTCCAGGCGCCCCCTGGCCCGGCCAGCGCTGCTGCAGCCGAGGCCCCGGCCCCTCCAAGGCCCCGCCCCTCCACCAAGCCCCTCCCCTCTGCTCAGCACTAGCCGGGTGCTGTCAGCCAGCAGCTAGTCCAGGGCGGTGAGACGTCGTACTCCCCCAAACCTCCGGTGTCGCTTATTCGAGGACACCCCCTCCCCATAAGCAGTCCAGAGGCACAGTTGCCCAGGTTGATGTTTGCAGAAACATCCTCAGCACACAGCAATATTTCCACCGGGGTCCTAGAGGACTGCAGCTCCTTGCACACACCAGCTCCGGTCCTGAGCGCAGAGAGGGTCCCAAAGTCACCGAAGCCGCGGTAAGATGCGCTCTGGCGGGGAGATGGCTCCCCGCCGCCTCCAACCTGCCTCCCGCGGGCCCCGCCACTAAACCCAACATGCGTATCCTCGGCCACCCCAAAGATGCACCTCAGCAATGTGCCATCCAAAGTCGGCATTGCCTAGACCAGGCCTTGAGGGGCTGCGTTTCAGCACCTGACTGGGGTGATTCCTGGGTGACCAGGGCCACTAGCTGGTCACCTCCTCAGGTCGTCAAAACCTGGGGAATCACATTTCTTCCATTCTAGTTTCTCAAGGTGAGAACAACCTTCCTAATTCCAGCCACATAAGACGCAGACAGCAGGGGGAAGACCCCTGGGTGGGAGCAGGACGGTGGGCGGCAGAATAACAGTTCTTTTGGGGGTGGTCGCCTAGGTTTGTGGGGTCATGAACTTTTCGGATACTCTCATCTCTTCTGAATCTCTGAAGTCCCTGTCGCCTTCTTCAAGCCTGTTTTCTCCGGGTCAGACCACGTACACCTTGGCCACGCATCTCAGCGAATTCCTTTTTTTTTTTTTTTTCAAAGGAAAAATGGAAAGGATGCGTTCTTAGGGCAGAGTCCTCTCACTCCCAAATTTACAGAGGTATCCCCAGAGTCGGAACTGGGCTCTCGGCAGGCATACAGTAGTCACTCATTAAATTTTGCCTCTACCCAAGCGTGATCTCGCTAGACTGCGGAATTTGAAAGTGGACGGGCCCTGCCACCTGGTGGCACTTAGTAGAACTGGCGCCAATATCCTTCTGTAACCTTCAGGCCAGCATCTGTAAAAGGGAAATGTTTTAACATGCGGATTGGGGTAAGCTTGTGACATCTTTCATGAGTTGATTAATATTACAGTGATAGTTACTTTCCTTTTCTCGACCTTGGGTGATTTTGAATTTAACAAGGAATAAAAATAAAGGAGGAGGCCAGTCAGAATGGCTCGTGCCCATAATAATAGCCCGTGGGAGGCTGAAGCAGGAGGAATTTTCAAGCTAAAGGCCACTCTAAGCTACACTGTAAATTCCATGCTAACATGGGCTACAGTGTGAGACTCTGCCTTTTATAAAAGGAGGACTGGGGGCTGGAGAGATGGCTCAGCGGTTAAGGTCACTGGCTGCTCTTGCAGAAGACCCAGGTTTGATTCCCAGCGCCCACATGGCAGCTAACAGCCATCCATAACTCCAGTTCCAGGGGATCTGGCGCCGGCTTCTGAGCTCTGCCAGCACTGCACAGGTGCACTTACATCCAGGCAATAAATTCATACACATAATTTATACACACAATAACAATAAATAAAATTTTTTAAAAAGGAGGACCTCCAATGGGCCAACTAGTGTCATTTTCAATGTCAGGCAGCATCCAAAGGAGTCTCAGGTCTTCAGAGGGCCTACCGGATCTGCAGCTTTGAAGAGAACAGCTCTGGGGGCACCAGGACCTCCCCAAGGTGACAGCTCTCTAGGTGGTCAAGATCTCAGATGCTTGCCCCACTTCTGGCTGATCAAACAAACAAACCCCAAGGATCTAGTAGCTTCCTTGGATCAACTTGTCACCTCAAAAATGACGAGGCCTGTGGCTTGCCAGTGAGGTTCAGGTGTCTAGGAAGTTTCGTGGTGTTTACGTCCCCCACCAGACTGAATCTCAGTGCTGTCCAATCTTCCCTATCCAGAATGGCAGCCTTGAGCCACACTGAGTCCCTGAGCACTTTCCACAAATCTAGTATCACCATGGAATTGCACTTTCTGTTTTACTTACTTTCACTAAATTTTAGTAGCATGTGGCTTTGTGACTTTTTTTTTTTTTTTTGGTATTTTTGAGACAGGGTCTCCCTGTAGCCCCAGCTGCCCTAGAAGTCACTATGTAGACCAGGCTAACCTCAAACTCACAGAGATCTGCCTGCCTCTGACTCCCAAGTGCTGGGATTAAAGGTGTGCACCATCACGCCTCGCCTGGCTTTGTGACTTCTGAATGAACAGCACAACTTTACTGTTAGGAGTTGGGGCTGTCCCTCAGTTGATAGAGTGGTGGCCTAGCATGCAGGAAGCCTGGGGTTTAATCCCCAGTACTGCATAAACTGGGTGTGGTGATGCATACCTGTAATACCAGCACTCAGGAGATGTCGGCTGGAGGGTCAGAAGTTCAAGGTCATCCTCAGCTACATAGCAAGTTAGAGGTCAGCTTGGCCTATATGAGACTCTCTCAAGGGAAAAAAGAATCCATGTGTCATGTTCAGCCTGTCTCATGTTCATTCCTGTGCTGGTTCCCTGCATGGGGCATGTCTCATGCCCCATGTAATTTTTGAGTAAAATAATTGAATTCCAACCTTGCTTTTCCCTTTAAGGTATATCTATCTTGTGCCACGTCTTTCAGCATTGCCCTTTTCTCTGTTAGTAAGTAGATAGTCTCTGAAATGAATTTGTCTCTCATGGCCTTGAAGTGATCCATCTGTTCCTGTGGACATCTTGCTTTCTTTGTGGGACTTTGTGTAAGCATCTTTAGCTTGCATGTGACAAGCAGAGACTTGGAAAGCTGGGGGTCTTCCTCAAGTTCTAAGGGGTGGGAAAGGATAGACTTTCCTACCTTGGTTCCTACTTTGCCTCACTCCCTTGAAGGTGATATTTCTAGAAAGATCACAGTAACTTCATGAAATGCTTTGAGGACGGAGAGCCATCCCCTCAAAAACTATTTTCAGTGTCCCTGTAATTGCTATGGACATGGGACCCTGATAGTGTCTGCTAAGTAGCCACATCTGTGCCCACTACTGCTGGAGTATGTATAGGTATGATGTGATCCTGTTCTAGGGAGGCCATGTTACCCTCAGAGGCCCACTTGTGTTGGGACCTTCTATTGCAGTTTTGTGAAGAGCCCTCCTGGGCAAGGAGCTCAGGCTCCCCTTGATTTTTGACTCCGGAGTAGAAATGGGCCCACTTCATCTTTATTCAGTCTTGGAATTCAACTGTGGACTGAGTAGCTGGGAATTGATGAAACAAATGTGAAACACCATCACTGCAGAGCCACTATTTTGTGCCCAAACAGACATTGTTGCACTTTTTCATCAGTTCTTTTGACCTCAGTCTATGACTTATGCTGCCCATTAGATAGGAGATTCAGCCACTGTTGCAAAGTGCTCCTCCTCCTCCAGTTATTTCTAGGCATTTCCAGTAGAGTAGCCAGAGGTGCCCATGAATTCAGTGTACTGAATTCAGCTACTTCCTTTTCCATTCTTACAAATGACCTGGAGTAGTCTGATCATGGCTTTGTGATCCCCTGTGCCGTCACCATGGAGACATGTATCCCACATTCCCAAGCTACCAGGAATCATTCAAATCACATGAAAATTGCTTTGTCCCAAACAATAGGGATTTTAGTTTTTGTCAGGTGATCCAAAAGTTGTTTCATTGCTCAACAATGTCAACAAGGACCTAAAACTCCCCCTCTAGCCTTCTGTTCTGCCATCCTCATGGTAGTAAGATGGCTGCCCCAGCCCCAAGCATCCAAGCTTTACATGACAGCTTCCAAATGTGAGAATGGTAGTAAGGGCAGAGAGCTTTCCTTATGAGCCTTCTTATTAATCCAAAAGAAAACCCTTCCTAGTGCTGCCCCGCCCCGCCGCCCCACCAGGTGTAGGAGTCCCCTCCAATTTCGTTGACCAGCCAGGAATTATCTAGCCTCCTGGGCATGCAAAGGAGGCTGGGACATGAGGGACCTGGCACCAAATAGTTGTATTTTTTTTTTTTCCTGGGACAGGGTCTCATGTGGCAAGGCTGGCCTTGAACTCCTGATCCTCCCGCCTCTACCTCCAGTCCCATCCCATCACCCCTGTTACGTCCTGAGCTTCTACTCTTACCACTGTGACTCGGAGGGAGTGAACTCAGCCTCCAGACTGGACAGGAAATATGTGGTCCCCTTCCCTCTCCATCCTTTGTCCTTTATTGTCCCACATAAAGTTATGGGACTTTATGTCTCGGAAGTGTCTGTCTCACTGGATTTCGTCTTTACCCTTTACCTCTAGATGGCACCTTGCAGTACCCTCCCTCCTAAAGCAAGGAATTGTCTGCTCTCAAAGGGGACCTCAGAGCTCCACCTTTGTACAAAACAAAGAACTTTTGGAATTGTGGCAATTCTGGATTATTTATTTATTGGTTTGAACTTGTTATGTAGCTGAGGATGACCTTGAACTCCTTATCCTCCTGCCTCCACATCCCCAGTGCTGTGACTACAGGCCTGTGTCTTCTCAACTTGGGTTATTTATTTATAGACCTCTATAAATCACTATAAATTCACTAGAATTTCAGAAATCTCTGAGCTGTCTTTGTTTATTCAGTTTCCAGATTCACGGTGGTGCTGGCTTCAAAGTCAAGAAAGGAGCCAGAGGTGGAGGCCAGCTGGCCGGTCCAGGGCTGGGCGCTAGCCATCCTGCCACCTTACTCCTGGGTAGTTCATCTGACACTTTTTACTTGCCTTGGGACTTGCATTCAAATCACCTGGGGCTCTTGGCTAAATGTACATTCTGGCTTAGAGGGAAGACTACTCTGTATTGAATTGAGCCTTCATGTGGGTCATACTTGGAGCAGCAAGGACCTATAACCTGGTGGTTGATACTAGCTGCTCAATAGAACCTCCTGACTTATAGGATTGTGAGGATGCCTCAATAGGTAAAGCACTTGCACAGCAAGCTTGAAGACCTGTGTTCAGATCCTCCAAACCTATATAAAGCTGGATGTGACAGGACAAGTCTGTAATCCCAGAACTCCTACTGGGAGTTGGGAGGCAGA